TTTTTCTGTGTTTTTTAGGGATTTTTTGGGGATTTTTGGGGGATTTTTTGGGTTTTTTTCAGAAATTTTTTGGAGTTTTTTTGGCGTTTTTTGCGCCATTTTCGCGCCGTTTTCCGGCGTTTTTCGCGCGATTTCCGACCTTTCTCACAATTTTTGGGGTTTTTTTCCTGACAATTTTTCCCATTTTTTGAGCTCATTTGGGACTCTTTGGACTAATTTTGGTGGTTTGGGGGCTTTTTTGGGTTTTTTTCCGAAATTTTTTAGGGTTTTTTTGGCGTTTTTTGCGCCATTTTCGAGCGTTTTTCGCGCGACGTTCGCGTGATTTTCGCGCCATTTCCGACGTTTCTCACACATTTTTTTGCCATTTTTTTCTGACAATTTTTAGCATTTTTTGGAGCTCATTTGGGATTTTTCCCACTCATTTTGGTGCTTTTTGGGCTTTTTAGGGTTTTTTTCCGAAATTTTTTAGGGGTTTTTTTTTTTTTTTTTGACATCAACGAGGCCTTCGAGGAGCTGGGCCGGATGGTGCAGCTGCACCTCAAGAGTGACAAACCCCAAACCAAGCTGCTCATCCTGCACCAGGCCGTGGCTGTGATCCTCAGCTTGGAGCAGCAGGTCCGAGGTTGGTGAAAATTTGGGGGATTTTGGGTGAAAATTGGGGGTTTTTTGGGCGAAATTTGGGCGAAAATCGGCGTTTTTTCGACGTTTTTTCGACGTTTTTTCGAAGTTTTTTGAGCATTTTTTGGGGTTTTTTTGGTGCTTATTTAGGATCTTTTAGGGGTTTTTTTCTGTCTTTTTTAGGGATTTTTTTTGGATTTTTTGGGATTTTTTGGGATTTTTTTGAGATTTTTTAGGGTTTTTTTGGCGCTTTTGGCGCCATTTTCGAGCGTTTTTCGCGCGATTTTCGCGTGACTTTTGCACGGTTTTTGAGCGTTTTTTGAGCATTTTTTGGGGTTTTTTTGGTGCTCATTTAGGATCTTTTAGGGTTTCTTTTCTGTCTTTTTTAGGGATTTTTTGGGGATTTTTGGGGGATTTTTTGGGTTTTTTTCAGAAATTTTTTGGAGTTTTTTTGGCGGTTTTTGCGCCATTTTCGCGCCGTTTTCGAGCGTTTTTCGCGCGATTTCCGACGTTTCTCAGACATTTTTTGGGGATTTTTTTTTTGCAATTTTTGGGATTTTTGGAGCTCGTTTGGGACTTTTTGAACTAATTTTGGTGGTTTTGGGGCTTTTTTGGGTTTTTTTCCAAAATTTTTTGGGGTTTTTTTGAGCGTTTTTCGCGCGATTTTTGCGCGACTTTCACGCGTTTTTTGTTCCATTTTTGACATTTTTGGGGATTTTTTTGGGCCATTTTTATGATTTTTTGGAGCTCGTTTGGGACTTTTCCAACTGAACTTGGTGGTTTTGGGGTTTTTTTCTGTTTTTTTCCAAAATTTTTTTGGGTTTTTTTGGGCGTTTTTCTCCCCATTTTCGAGCGTTTTTCGCGCAACTTTTGCGCAACTTTTGCACAGTTTTTGAGCGTTTTTTGAGCAATTTTTGGGGTTTTTTTGGTGCTCATTTATGATCTTTTAGGGGTTTTTTTCTGTCTTTTTTAGGGATTTTTTCGGATTTTTTTGGGGTTTTTTGACGTTTTTTTGGCGTTTTTTTTGGCGTTTTTTGCGCCTTTCTCGCGTGATTTTTCGTGCGATTTTTGAGCCATTTTGGCATTTCTGGGACATTTCTTGGGATTTTTTTTTTGCAATTTTTGGGATTTTTGGAGCTCGTTTGGGACTTTTTGAACTAATTTTGGTGGTTTTGGGGCTTTTTTGGGTTTTCTCACTAAATTTTTTAGGGTTTTTTGGCGTTTTTTGCGCCATTTTCGAGCGTTTTCCGTGCGATTTTTGCGCGACTTTTGCGCGGTTTTTTGAGCGTTTTTTGAGCAATTTTTTGGGATTTTTTTGGTGCTCATTTAGGATCTTTTAGGGTTTCTTTTCTGTCTTTTTTAGGGATTTTTTAGGGATTTTTTGGGGTTTTTTTGGCTTTTTTTGGCGTTTTTTGCGCCTTTCTCGCGTGATTTTTCGTGCGATTTTTGAGCCATTTTTGGCATTTCTGGGGCATTTCTTGGGATTTTTTTTTTTGCAATTTTTGGGATTTTTGGAGCTCGTTTGGGACTTTTTGGACTAATTTTGGTGGTTTTGGGGCTTTCTTGTGTTTTTCCCGAAATTTTTTAAGGTTTTTTTGGGCGTTTTTTGCGCCATTTTCGCGCATTTTTTGCTCCATTTTTGACATTTCTGGGACATTTTTTGGGATTATTTTTGACAATTTTTCCCATTTTTTGAGCTCATTTGGGATTTTCCAACAAATTTTGGTGGTTTTGGGCTTTTTTGGGTTTTTTTTCAGAAATTTTTTAGGGTTTTTTTGGGCGTTTTTTGCGCCATTTTTCCGAGATTTTCGTGCAATTTTGGGGGATTTTTTGGGATTTTTTTGGATTTTTTGGGGATTTTTTGGGAGATTTTTAGGGGATTTATTTGCTTTTATTTCACCATTTTTTGGGATTTTGGGGGGAATTTTTAGAGATTTTTTTAGAATTTTTTCGAAATTTTTTGAGCCATTTTCGCCCATTTTTTGCACATTTTTGGGGATTTTTTTCGCATTTTTTTGGATTTTTTTAGGATTTTTTTGGAGATTTTTACGGGATTTATTTGCTTTTATTTCACCATTTTTTAGGGATTTTTTGGGAATTTTTGGGGCTTTTTTGGGATTTTTTGGGAGATTTTTTAGGATTTTTTTGAAAAATTTTGAGCCATTTTCGCCCATTTTTTGCACATTTTTTTGAATTTTATTTTGCATTTTTTGGGATTTTTTTGGCAATTTTAGGATTTTTTTTGGAGCTCATTTGGGGTTTTTTGGACTCATATTGGGGCTTTTTTAGGGATTTTTTGGGAGATTTTTTAGGATTTTTTTAGGAATTTTTTTGTGCCATTTTCGCCCATTTTTTGCACATTTTTTTGGATTTTTTTCGCATTTTTTAAATTTTTTTTTTTTTAATTTTTGGGATTTTTTTGGAGCTCATTTGGGGTTTTTTGGACTCATTTTGGGGCTTTTTAAGGGATTTTTTAAGAGATTTTTTTAGAATTATTTTGACCATTTTTGAGCCATTTTCACCCATTTTTCAGACATTTTTTGGGATTTTTTTGGACATTTTTTGGGATTTTTTTGCATTTTTGGGATTTTTTAAAGGATTTTTTCGGAGATTTTTACAGGATTTATTTACATTTATTTCACCTTTTTTGGGGATTTTTTTGGGAATTTTTGGGGCTTTTTTGGGATTTTTTGGGAATTTTTTTAGGATTTTTTTCGAAATTTTTTGAGCCATTTTCGCCCATTTTTGGGATTTTTTTTTAATTTTTAGAGATTTTTTTTAGGATTTTTTTTGCTTTTATTTCACCATTTTTGGGGGATTTTTGGGATTTTTGGGGGAATTTTTTGGGATTTTTTGGGGATTTTTTTTGAGATTTTTTTAGGATTTTTTTGCTTTTATTTCAAAATTTTTGGAATTTTTTGGGGATTTTTGGAATTTTTTTTTTATTTTTTTGACATTTTTTGGGATTTTTTGGGGATTTTTTTGGAGATTTTTTTAGGATTTTTTTGCTTTTATTTCCAAATTTTTGGATTTTTTGGGGGATTTTTGGACAATTTTTTTGGAGCTTTTCAGGAATTTTTTGGGGCATTTTTGAATTTTTTTTTTTTTTAGATTTTAAAAGATTTTTTTGGGCAATTTTTGGACATTTTAAATTTTTTTGGCCTTTTTTTGGTGCCATTTTCTGCATTTTTGGGGCTTTTTTTGATTTTTTTAAAATATTTTTTGGAGATTTTTAAGGGATTTTTTTTTATTTATTTTGGATTTTGGGGGGAATTTTTTGGAGTTTTTTGAATGAATTTTTTGGGAAATTTTTGGGAAAATTTTGGGATTTTTTGGGAATTTTTTGGAGATTTTTTGGGAATTTTGGGGGGATTTTTTGGGGCAAAATTTGGGATTTTTTGGGGATTTTTTGGGGATTTTTTGGGAATTTTTTGGGGCAAAATTTGGGATTTTTGGGGGAATTTTTGGGAATTTTTTGGGAATTTTTTGGGGGAATTTTTGGGAATTTTTTGGGACAAAATTTGGGATTTTTGGGGAATTTTTTGGGATTTTTTTTGGGCAAAATTTGGGATTTTTTGGGGAATTTTTTGGGAATTTTTTGGGAATTTTTTCGAGATTTTTTTTGGGCAAAATTTGGGATTTTTTTGGATTTTTTAGGATTTTTTTTAAGGATTTTTGGGCTTTTTTTGGGCGAATTTTGGAAATTTTTTTAGAATTTTTTTTTGTTTTTTGCCTTTTTAATTTTTTGTCATTTTTATTTGTTTTTTTTTAATTAATTCCATGAATTTTTTTTCTATTTTTCCATATTTTTCATTTTTTTGCACAAAATTTCTCTCTTTTTTTAATGGAATTTTTTTCTTTATTTTTCCATGAAAAATTCTTTTTTTTCCCATTAAAATTCTCTTTTTATCCCATCAAAATTCTCATTTTTTCCCTATAAAATCCTCATTTTATTCTCCAAAAATCCTCATTTTTCCCATTAAAATTCTCATTTTTCCCCATTAAAATCCTCATTTTATCCTTCAAAAATTCACTTTTTTTCCCATTAAAAATCTCATTTCTCCCATTAAAATCCTCATTTTTTCCCCAAAAATTCACATTTTTTTCCCTTTAAAATCCTCATTTTCCCCAAAAAAATTCACTTTTTTTTCCCCAAAAATTCACATTTTTTCCCCATTAAAATCCTCATTTTTCCCCCAAAAATTCACTTTTTTTTCCTCCAAAAATTCACATTTTTTCCCTTTAAAATCCTCATTTTTTCCCCTTTAAAATCCTCATTTTTTCCCTTTAAAATCCTCATTTTTTTCCCTATAAAATCCTCATTTTTTCCCTTTAAAATCCTCATTTCTCCCCCAAAAATCCTCATTTTTTTCCCCAAAAATTCACATTTTTTCCCCTTTAAAATCCTCCATTTTCCCCATCAAAATTTTCATTTCTCCCATCAAAAATTCACATTTTTTTCCCCAAAAATCCTCATTTCTCCCCCAAATTTTCACCTTTTCTCTCCGAATTTTTTGCCGTTTCTCCCACATTTCCTCCAGATATTTCTCCCGATGTCAATTTTATTTTTTCTGTGTTTTTTTTTGGGGGGTTCAGAGAGGAATTTGAACCCCAAGGCCGCGTGTTTGAAGAGGAGGGAAGAGGAGAAGGCGTCGGAGGCTCCGGCGTTGGCGCTGCCGGGAACTCACGCGGCCATGGGGGAGACGGCGAATCACATGGGGCAGATGTGAACCTGGTGGGGAGAAAATGGGGGGAAAATGGGGAAAAAATGGGGGGAAATGTGGGGGGGAATGGGGAAAAAAAATGGGGGGAATTGGGGAAAAAATGGGGAAAAAATGGGGAAAAATCGGAGAAAAAATGGGGAAAAAATGGCGGAAATACGGAGGGAAAATTGGAGAAAAAATGGGAGAAAAATGGGAAAAAATGGGGGAAAAAATGGGGAAAAATTGGANTTTGCGCCATTTTCGCGCATTTTTTGCTCCATTTTTGACATTTCTGGGACATTTTTTGGGATTATTTTTGACAATTTTTCCCATTTTTTGAGCTCATTTGGGATTTTCCAACAAATTTTGGTGGTTTTGGGCTTTTTTTGGGTTTTTTTCTAAAATTTTTTAGGGTTTTTTGGGCGTTTTTTGCGCCATTTTTCCGAGATTTTCGTGCGATTTTCGAGCGATTTTTTGGGATTTTTTGGGATTTTTTGGGGATTTTTTGGGAGATTTTTACGGGATTTATTTACATTTATTTCACCATTTTTTGGGATTTTTTGGGGAATTTTTAGAGATTTTTTAGGATTTTTTTTGGAATTTTTTGAGCCATTTTCGCCCATTTTTCGCAAATTTTTTGGGATTTTTTTCGCATTTTTTTGGATTTTTTTGGTAATTTTGGGGATTTTTTTTTTTTGGTTATTTGGGGTTTTTTGGACTCATTTTGGGGCTTTTAAAATGATTTTTTTAAGAGATTTTTTAGGATTTTTTTGACAATTTTTGAGCCATTTTCGCCCATTTTTCGGGTTTTTTGGGGGGATTTTTTTTTACATTTTTTGGGATTTTTTTGCATTTTTTGGGATTTTTAAAAGGATTTTTTCAGAGATTTTTACAGGATTTATTCACATTTATTTCACCATTTTTTAGGATTTTTTTGGGAATTTTTGGGGCTTTTTTGGGATTTTTTGGGAGATTTTTTAGAATTTTTTCGAAATTTTTTGAGCCATTTTCGCCCATTTTTTGGATTTTTTTTTAATTTTTAGAGATTTTTTTTAGGATTTTTTTTGCTTTTATTTCACCATTTTTGGGATTTTTTGGGGAATTTTTGGAGATTTTTTGGGGATTTTTTGGGGATTTTTTAAAAGATTTTTATAGGATTTATTTGCTTTTATTTCCAAATTTTTGGGGATTTTTTGGGGAATTTTTTGGGATTTTTTTGGGATTTTTGGGGATTTTTTGGGGGATTTTTTTGGGGATTTTTGGGGAATTTTTTGGGATTTTTTGGGGATTTTTTAAAAGATTTTTATAGGATTTATTTGCTTTTATTTCCAAATTTTGGGGGATTTTTTTGGGATTTTTTGGAATTTTTGGGGGATTTTTTTGACATTTTTTGGGATTTTTGGGGGATTTTTTTGGAGATTTTTTTAGGATTTTTTTGCTTTTATTTCAAAATTTTTGGGGATTTTTTGGGGATTTTTGGACAATTTTTTTGGAGCTTTTTAGGAATTTTTTGGGGCATTTTTTAATTTTTTCTTTTAGATTTTAAAAGATTTTTTTGGGCAATTTTTGGGCATTTTAATTTTTTTTTTTTTGCCTTTTTTTTGGTGCCATTTTCTGCATTTTTGGGGCTTTTTTTGATTTTTTAAAATATTTTTTGGAGATTTTTAAGGGAATTTTTTTTTATTTATTTTGGATTTTGGGGGGAATTTTTTGGAGTTTTTTGAATGAATTTTTTGGGAATTTTTTGGGAATTTTTGGGGAATTTTTTGGAGATTTTTTGGGAATTTTTTGGGAATTTTTTGGGGCAAAATTTGGGATTTTGGGGGGAATTTTTGGGAATTTTTTGGGGATTTTTTGGGACAAAATTTGGGATTTTTGGGGAATTTTTTGGGAATTTTTTGGGAATTTTTTGGGGCAAAATTTGGGATTTTTTGGGGGAATTTTTTGGGAATTCTTTGGAGATTTTTTGGGGGCAAAATTTGGGATTTTTTTTATTTTTTAGGATTTTTTTTAAGGATTTTTTGGCTTTTTTGGGCGAATTTTGGAAATTTTTTAAAAATTTTTTTTTGTTTTTTGCCTTTTTAATTTTTTGTCATTTTTATTTGTTTTTTTTTAATTAATTCCATGAATTTTTTTTCTATTTTTCCATATTTTTCATTTTTTTGCACAAAATTTCTCTCTTTTTTTAATGGAATTTTTTTTCTTTATTTTTCCATAAAAATTCTTTTTTTTTCCCATTAAAATCCTCATTTTATCTCATTAAAATTCTCTTTTTTTCCCATTAAAATTCTCATTTCTCCCCCCAAAATCCTCATTTTTTTCCCTATAAAATTCTCATTTTTCCCATTAAAATTCTCATTTTTCCCCATTAAAATCCTCATTTTCCCCCCAAAAATTCACTTTTTTTCCCATTAAAAATCTCAATTTTTTCCCTTTAAAATCCTCATTTTTCCCCATTAAAATCCTCTTTTTTTCCCATTAAAATTCTCATTTTTCCCATTAAAATTCTCTTTTTTTTTTTCCATCAAAATCCACTATTTTCCCCATTAAAATCCTCATTTTATCTTTCAAAAATCCTCATTTTTTTCCCTATAAAATCCTCATTTTTTCCCTTTAAAATCCTCATTTTATCCTTCAAAAATTCACATTTTTTCCCTTTAAAATCCTCATTTTTTCCCTTTAAAATCCTCATTTTTTTCCCTATAAAAATCCTCATTTTTTCCCTTTAAAATCCTCATTTCTCCCCCAAAAATCCTCATTTTTTTCCCCAAAAATTCACATTTTTTCCCCTTTAAAATCCTCCATTTTCCCCATCAAAATTTTCATTTTTTCCCTTTAAAATCCTCATTTTTCCCATTAAAATCCTCATTTTATCCTTCAAAAATTCACATTTTTTCCCATTAAAAATCTCTTTTTTTTTCCCATTAAAATCCTCATTTTTCCCCATTAAAATCCTCATTTTTTCCACAAAAATTCACATTTTTTTCCCCAAAAATTCAGATTTTTTCCCCAAAAATCCTCATTTCTCCCCCAAATTTTCACCTTTTCTCTCCGAATTTTTTGCCGTTTCTCCCACATTTCCTCCAGATATTTCTCCCGATGTCAATTTTATTTTTTTTGTGTTTTTTTTGGGGGGTT